ACTGATGTCTTCATTAGTGACAGTTTTCTTGCGTCCACATTTTGGCAAATCCAACACTGAACCAGTTTCACGAAACTTAGCCATATAAATGGCCCACCCTGTAGTTACCGTTTCATATCGCTTTCAACATAACACAAGTTGTTCCCAATGCTTCTCTTTTTCTCTCATGACTCTCATGTACATGTTTTAACCTGTTAGAGTTTTACTATAGGAAATAACTGTGTGCAGTCACCTTATAAAAATGGGATTATATTGTTTCAGCTGAACCTGCATCAGCTTGTGCTCCTTTTGCAGCAAAGAATGACAAGGTGGGCCAAGAAAAGGAAACTGCGACCCAAGTTTCGCCATCGCCACAAAGATCTCCCACAACAGGAGAAACCAACATCAGCAGAACTGCCCAAGAGATGGAACCCCCACCACAGAAAAAGGCAAAGAGAGGAGATGAGGAGCAAGAGGAGGGAGAGATCACAGACAGTAGTGATGAAGACGATAAAAATATCCCATGTGATTAAAGCTGCGACAATACCAAAGATCCCAATAATGACACAAAAGTGACTAAAGATGAAGTGCAGTAGAAGTCGGTGGTGGACAGTGTTGTTATTAATGAACACAGTGACAGCAGCAGGGATCAGTGAATGATGAGGGGATTACTGAAAAAAGAGAGCGGAGGTCAGCATGACTAAGGAAGGGGCTCTTAAAGAGCCGATGGCTAGTCTCATATCCCTGCCTGTGGAGATGAAAATGAGTCAGCTAATGCTGCTGACAGCCGGGGGATTGGAATGACAGTATCCAGATACTGAGGCTGTGACGCTGCACACGTCACAGGAAGTCATCAATCTTCTGTCAGTTTACTTTAGTCCTTTTTCAGTATTTGTATATAGGTCATTTTCAGTAGCGAGAATAACTGTTAATGAAATGTATTATTATTTGCACTTAGAATCATTTCAGTTTTTATTTTTATACTGACTGATTTCATAAGTGAATCACTGATAATATTTAGGGTTTTGATATTACTTTAATTTCAAAGCTATATATATATATATGTTAGTAAAATAAATGTGTTAATAACATCACATTCTGTTAAAAATGTTGTTTTGTTATTAAATGAATTTATTTTAAAAACATCATCTGTACTAGGATTTGTGTGTTTTTAAATTCAGTTTTTATATTTGTCTGGACTTCTGCTTTGTCAAATAAAATCAGTGTTTGGAAATGTTGGTTTTCATGATACTTATTTCCCCTTTATGTGTAATTCTCATACTGCAAAGATAAAAATATATTTTTATTAACATAAAAAATCTTGTAAACAAAACTCTGAGGCCATCACTGTGTTTGCTGATGTAGCTGTTTGACAGCTGTTTGAGGGTTTGTGATTTAAAAATAAAATAAAATAAAATAATTTGCATAATGTTAAATCTTCAAATTCTAGGGGCACTTGACACTCAAAAATACAAAAGCTCAATGCAATTTATTTAGTTTCTATATGTGGAAAAATGTAAATTTGCTTCCATATGATGGACAACAGGAAAAGCCCAGAAATGACTTGTATTGAATATGTATTTGTAATGTATTAAGTTCACTGGGCTTTTATGGGCTTTTTCACTAATTTTCAGTCTAGTCCTTGTATCTTATTATCCTCAGAGAGCCACTTAATGCTGACTTTTTCCAAAATCTCAAGGGATTCTCCAATGTTGTCTCCACATAACTGATAACATCACAAAGAACCAATTTTATATGCTCTCGTTCAGAAATTCAGGAAACTGGAGAAGTGGGGGATGTAAAAAAAAAACAAAAAAAAAAAACTAGATTAGCAGTATGTGAAAGTCCTTACGAAACGAAAAGGGAAAAAAAGGAGGTCCATCTGAAAAAAGTCTGTTTGGCAGTAGCTTAATTTTTCAGCAAGACAAACACACTGCAAGTCCAGAAAAAGTTTTCCTTCGCATCACAAATACAATAAAATGCCATCAGTCATGGACAGGCCTCCCACTGCCTGGACCCAACATCAGGGAAGCTGTGTGGAATCGTCTTGATAGGAAATGGAACAAAATCAACATCCAAAGAGGAGCTTTGAATATCGTTCAAGAAGCCTGGACAACTATTCCCGAAGACTGCTTAAAAAAATGACAAGCTGATAAAGAGTTAAGGCTGTCTTTAAGAATAAACGTGGTCATACAAACTATTGACTTTTACAATTATTAGAATTGTAGAATTGTACAAACTCTGTTGTTGCCTTATGTACTTTATTTCCATGCATGTTTGCACATGTTTCAATAATTTGGTGCACCCACCTTCCATTTTCCTAGCAAAACGTAAAGAAATAGGGGGTGACTCAACTTTTCTTTAAGGTGAGTATCAAGCCCGGTGTCTAGCAACACTTGCTCACGTTTCGGATACAGTCAAAACATGACTCATAAAAGGACCGCAACTACTGAACAAAAGAAACGGTGCTTGTAGAGATCATGTGATATAATCGTAAACTCCAAAGCTAATTAATAACTAAACTAACAATAACCAAAAAATGCAGAAAAGAACTCATGCCCGTTTCACTCTCGTTGAGCAGTGTCTCCCTCTGTTCATTTAAGTGAAAACTTCTGGAAACCAGAAAATTGTTCCTCAGTCACCTTTAAAGTTCAACAGCTCTCCTTTCTGTCAAGCTTCACTAAGATCATTAGTCTCGTTTTTCCATCAACTAATAAAAATTCATGTTGACATGCTTGTTTTTCCTGACACCTCAGGGTGTCTCCCTGTGTAAATGTACTTACGTATATGGTGCCTCCATGTTCTGTATTCTTACCTAATGTTAGTTTATTGCCACACAACAGCGTGCCAGTAATAACTAACCGTGCAGCCCATTGGTGGGGCCCATGTTTATGGATGTATTTTTATGACCCCTTGCTAACCTTTTTTTGGATGTTAACCCTGATGGACGGCTACCCTTTGATGTCTGCCTTGTGATGACGCATTTTCCACCCTTTTGCAGTTAAGGGCGGTGATCTCACAAGTGATTGTGCCTTAACGCTTCAAATGAGTAGTGCAACTTTAGCATCTGTGTTCAAATTTGGGCATACGTTTTGAACCACACGCTCATATCCAGATAAATCTAGAAACACTTTTCCATGTAAACATTATCAGCCCAAAGCATTGTTCAATGTTTTGGCTTACAGCTTTTAATTTTACTGCTGCAGATCTGAAAATGCTTTCTAAAAAAACTTTTTAACAGCTCTCTTGGCTCTGTCTAAAGGTTTTTTTAAAAAATCTGCCTACGTGTATCGGAAACAGTCGGATTGTCTTTTTTTCCCACCAGTTGCCTGAGTTTAATAGACAAGACATGATTCGTTAATTGTGTTTTATACTGACTGGTGCACAAAGCCTACACAACCAGTAGGGGTGTTTTGTCCTTCAACTAAAAAATAGTGGTGCTTTATTAGATCACTTCATACCCCGTACACTGTTGCTGCATTGTAGCTTCTTCCCTACTGTGTACAGTATACAATCTAATATTTAGAAATTGTTCAAGATCTGTTGTCTGAGCAGTACCAAAGACTACCGCTACAGTACAGTACTAAAGAGTGGCTGCTCCTGGCTCATCTGTTTCTTGTTTTTTCTCATGGCTCTTCTTGTGCTGAATTACCATCTATTTTATTTTAGCAGTTCTCTTAATTTTCCTGTCCCAATAAAGTTACTCAATGTGACCACACAAAAGTTGTGCCTTTGTTGCTGCTTGCTGTTAAAATGAAATTGAGGCTGTTTTTAGTCTGCGGATAGCACAGGCACTGGAAATAATGCCTCTATATTATCTAAATTGCCTTTGAAATTTCTGAAGTCGGTTCCCACTTAATTTTTTCTTAATTTGATGGGTAAGGCTCACTTGTACTGCGTGCAGAGCTGTTTTTCTTTTAACAAGACCAGCTCTGGGGATATGGCTCTGCTGTGGTGACCTAAGGCAGGTACTGAAGCATAAAGTCATGCTTCAAGAGCCAGATGTCACACATCTTTGCATGGCACATTGTGCATCCTAAGAGTTACGTTTTGCAAGCGTACTTCACATTTTTAAATGAAATCTTTTAAGCTTATTTGTGTTCCAAGTGAACAGAAGTACAACTAATCGAGGCCATTTGCTTTCCCCAAATATATTATGTGACATTTTGGATCATCCTACAGTAATAATTTACTGTGGTCTGTTCTTTATCAAGCTCATAGAGCTAATGGGAAATCTGAAGCCACTTATTTTGCAATACTACAAGTTTTCTCTGGTCAACAGACGGTACCTTTTCAGCATGTAGAGATGTTGTAAGATGGAATTATGTGCGAGTACTTTAGTGTAATTTTGCACAGAGCCATATTAAGCCACTTTCAAGGATACACTGTGCCTGAGAGAGTTCTGAAAGTGTGACTCCTAGTAACATTTTATGTAGCATGAGCAAAAGGATAGCATAACTCCACACCTAATTAATTCATAGTTCTTGTCATACTGTCATGTTAGACTAAACCTTCCTGCAACTGGAGACAAGATATGAGAGCCACGTCTCTAATAGTTAAACAACCAAACAAGCTGAAATTTAGCATTTACCAACATAAGCTCGCATCCTCTGAACAGACACAAATACTGAAGACAGTGGGGAAATAATTATTTACCCCCTGCAGAATTTGTAAGTTTGCTCTCTTTAAAAAGGTGGATTCTGTTCATCTGAACACAGAATCCACCTTTTGGGAATCACAGATACTTGTTATCTATTGAGACACTCATATAACATATATAAAACACACCTGTCCACAGAATCAGTTTTTTCCATTCCAACTTCTTCACAAACATGGGCAAAACCAAAGCGCTGTCAAAGGATGTCAGGGGAAAGATTATAGGCCGACATAAGGCTGGAAAGGGCTACAAGTCCATCAGCAGGAAGCTTGATGAGAAGTTGATGACTGCTGCGGTTACAGAGAATTGGAAGAAATGTAAAATTACCATCAGTCGTCCTCGGTCTGGAGCTCCATGCGAGATCTTACCTCATGGGGTGAGGATGATCATGAGAAAAGTGGTAGATCAGCCCAAAACTACACGGACTGATGGACTAATATCTTGCAACAACTACAAGGTTGCCGTGACCCATAGTCTAATATGGACACTGGATGACTTTCGCGCATTCACGGGCCAATGGAAGGGACAATGTACCATAAAATTTTGAACAAAAACCTCCTTCCCTTCAATGTTACTTAGGCAGAACACTGAAGATGAGTTGTGGCTGCGTCTTTGAGCATGACAATGACCCAAAACATCTCACCAAAGAAAAAAAGAGTGTCTAAAGAAGAAGCACTTTAAGGTCATAGAGTAGTTTAGCCAGTCTCAAGACCTCAGTCCCATATAAATCTGTGGAGGGACCTAAAGCTTCGAGTTGCTAAAAGCAGTCAAAAAACCTAAAGTATTCAGAGAGTTTCTGTAAACAGGAGTGGCCCAAACATCCCTCCTGAAATGCGTGCAAACCTGGTGGTCAGATACAAGAAACATCTCGCTGCGCGTGCCAACAAGGGTTTCTCCACCAACTACTAAGTCATATTTTGTTTGGGGATAAAATACTTATTTCACCAAAAGACAAATGCAAATCAATGTATAACTTCTATGTAACAGGGTTATTTTCTAAATATTTTATTGGTATTCTGTGTCTCTCCATTACAATGAAACACTGTTCACATGAATATGAATAAAAAATAAAAATAAGGCTGAAATCTTGTCTCTATATTTACTATATTTAATCACATGCAAAATGGCTTGTGGCTGTAATGAGCGCACTGATTTAATGTGATGGGACACAGTGATGATGAAAAAGACAGGATGCATTGTTCTGCTGAAAGCCTTTCAGCAGGCGCCTTTCCTTTTCTTAGCTGACAGGAATGGCAGCCAGTGTGGTCTTCTGCTGCTGTAGCCCATATGCTTCAAGGTTCAACAGAGATGCTCTTCTGCATACCTTGTATGTAATGAGTGGTATTTTGAATTGCTGTTGCCTCTTCTCTATATACCCTAGAGATGATTCTGTGG